AACGTCGTATTTTCGTGAACAGGACCCAACCTCCCTCCCTTTCCAAGAACCGGCCATCCGGGAGATAAATACATCCACATGGAGTGGTGTCTTCGAAAGGGGGGGCATCCAGGGGCCCATGCAGCGCCAGCGACGCACCTCGGCTTCGCATCCTCCTCTCATTGACCGGCCTCCTCCCCGAGTGGAGCTCTCGACAAGGTCCTCGCCCTGCGCGGCGGCTCTCTTTTCGACGACCGCCCAGATCTGCTGTCTGCTTGGATGCGTACATTGCTGTGCAAGCATCAGCTTACATCTCGCTTGAGGAGCTGAGAGGGTTGTATGCAGCTCTGACTCGACAATGTCACGATGGAGCGTGATGGCAGGGTTGGGAAGTCAGCATGGTCCCTACCCCCCCTGAGCCTGAGGGAGTGGTGGCATCGAAGGATTGGAGGCGGCGGGCGGGTAATGGGAATGGGGGCCGACTGGAGCGGATGGAAAGGGATCGCTTTCGTGTTGTTGTGGGAGATTTGAAGAGTATAAGAGGGGGAGATGTTCTTGTTGGATTGTGATCTTTTGGATCATCATCCAGTATCTGCTCTCTGAAGGACTACATTCACTCATTCTTTTCTTTCACTGACCTGTCATCCGCCATCATGCACTTCAAAGACCTCCTCGTCCCCCTCTTTGCCGTCTCGGCGGCTGCAGCTCCTCCCGCCGTTGGTGACCCGAAGAAGGGATGCGATGCCCTGGCGAAGAAGCACCCCTCGTCTGTCTTCTTCCCCGGAACAGCTCGCTACGACTTTGAGAACGAATGTACGTACCAGATCTTCATCTGTCAAAAGGTATCTTCAACTCACAACATATCAGACGGCTGGACAGCCACCTCCTGGCTCGGCCCCGCCTGTATCTTCACCCCTCAGACCTCCGAAGATGTCTCCTTCGCCATCAAGACCGTCTCCCAGCACAAGGTCAAGTTCGCCATCCGTGGCGGCGGCGCCATGCCTATGGACAATGCCGCCAACATTGGCTCCGAGGGTATTCTCATCGCCAACACCAACTTGACTCAGATGGAGATCTCTGAGGATCACAGTCTTGTTTCCGTTGGCGCGGGTATCAAATGGCCCCGGCTGTACGCATACCTCGACCAATTTGGCGTCACTGCCAACGGTATCCGCATGGGTGACGTTGGTGTGATTGGCTACCTTCTTGGAGGTGGTATTGGATTCTACAGCTACGAGCACGGTCTTTCCTCCGTTGGTGTCGAGTCTTTCGAGGTAACCCGTCCCATGTCTTACCGTCTCAACCCATGCTAACCCATCCAGTGCGTGCTTGCAGATGGCAAGCTGGTCAAGGCCAGCCTGACTGAAAACTCGGACCTCTTCTGGGCCCTGCGCGGCGGCGGTAACAACTACTGCCATGTCACACGCGCCAACATCCGTACCCTGGACATCCCTTCCATCCGCGCAGCTCCAGTATCCTACGGCGGCCCCGAGATCCAGGACCGCTACATTCAGAGCCTCGTCGAGTTTGCACGCTACGGCGACATTGACCCCAAGGCCTCGATGGAAGGACAGATCCGTTGGGTCCCCAGTCGCGGAGACGACCTCTTCTTCGACGCCTTCATCTTCACCAGCGGAGATGAGGCATCGCCCCCTGGTCTGCAGAACTTCACCGCCCCCGTCCTCCCTCCCACCAGGGGCAACCTCACCACGACTACTATGGGCACCTGGGCCAACCAGTTCCCCTATGACACCGACAAGGGCAACCGCAAGATCTTCCACTTCTTCTCCATCCCCGCCGAGACTAGGGCCATGGAGATCTGCCTCGAGAAATACTACGAGGTCGTTCGTCCCCTGGGTGCTCTCGACGGCTTCTTCACCGCCTTCAGTATCATGCCCATTACCAAGCACGTCATCAACCAGAGCGTCGTCAATGGCGGCAGCCCCGTCGGTTTGGATGAGAACAGCGCGCCTTCCCTGTGGCTCGTCGAGAGCCCCAGCTGGGCCAACGCTGCCGACGACGCTACCGTCTACAAGGCCCATGAGGAGGCCAATGCCAAGATTAATGAGGCTCTTGCTGCCGAGGGCTTCGAGCCGCTTGCATTTGTCTACCTCAGCGATGCGTCCAAGGCACAGCTGGATGACGTCTTCCCCAGCTATGGTGAGGAGAATGTGAAGAAGCTGCAGGCCATTCGCAACAAGTACGACCCGAAGTCGGTCTTCACCAACCTCCAGCCTGGAGGTGCCAAGGTTGCTCACGTTGAGCTGTAAGTGGGGGGGGTATCCACACATGTTGAGTTGATGGATGGGATGGAGATAAGATGAAGGGTTCTGTGGATGGCGCAGCTCGATGCATGCCAAATAGCCAGCTTGAATGATGCAAGTGTCATTGACACATGCGAACGTCCTCGTATTCAATGACCAAAAGCAATGGTCGAAAGTTCTGTGATCATCGGAGCAGCCCCGCCTCGGTCAATTGTCAAACCTCACGAGTCGGAAGTCCCCCCGTGCCTTTGACGGCGGTTGATGCACTCTTATGCTACACCAAGCCCGCTGACGAGAGCAAACCCGGGTGAGCGCCCACTTCCCGCAACCCCTCTTATCAATCATGTTGTGACAGGCGTCAAACAAGTGTCATCTTCAGACCGAGGTCCATACGCTCCAGTTTCTCCGACGTCGTTCGATTTTCAACCCCCCTGAGTCAATCTTGAAACATCAACCTTCAGACGATGCGATGCGCGGCCCACTCCCCACCAGACCACCACGGGCGGTGATCATAGGTCGATGAGAAAACTTCTTAATGGCAGATCATGCCGCGCGGGAGCTCCGTGTGGCGCATACGGCAGGGCTGGCAGGGTTGCCTGACGTTGACCATTCTCCATCGGGCACCTTCAAACCCCCCACCACGTCACCATCCTACCGTCGCAGAGCCTCCTCTCACTTAAGGTTGCACCCAAGGAGACGCAATGTGGCCTGCGCGGCCTCGAAACCTGCTCTTTCTGGCCACGCACATGGTATTATGCGTCTGAAGATGCGGCTCGCAAAGGCCCCATCAGCAGCGGGTCATCTCTGAGACATGCCACCCCAAGGCACCCGCCATCGGCAGATTCCTTTAGTCACAAGTCCTGACTTGATCTTTTATTATTAGACGGCCTCTCCTCCATGGCACCATGTTCATCGTCTAGTGGTTCCTAGTCGAGCATAATCTTTCATCCAATCTTCTTTTTCAGTCTCCTGGTGAGATAATTCAGTTTGCGGATCAGGCCGTTCACTTTTTGGTTCCTACGACTTTTTAATATCCCAGACGGGCTTGACGCTCTTTCAAAGATTCAACATGAAGGTTCTCTCCAGCCTGGCACTTCTGGCTGCCACCGCCACTGCCCTTCCACGACTTCAAGATGGGAACACCGACCTCCCAGTGCAGAAGAGACAGTTCAGACTCATCCCGGTTGTCGTCGGCGGCCCTCAGGATACATTTGTCCCGAACTCGGTGAATGCAGCCGTCGGCGATGTGATCCAGTTCCAGTTCAGCAATGGAAACCACACGGTCACGCAAAGCACCGAGACGACACCTTGTCAGCCGCTGCAGCAGACGAATGCCAACGCCATCCACAGCGGTCACATTCCCTTCCAGGACGGACAGGCTACCGTCGGCACGTTCAACATGCCGGTCACCAACACCGATCCTCTCTTCCTTTACTGCGCAACGGGACCGCATTGCCAAGAAGGACAGGTGATGATCGTCAACCCGTGAGCACAACACACCATCGTGGCAGAGTTGTCCGCTGACAGTGTCCAGGATATCACCGGAACAAGTCGTCAAGTTCAACAAAGCCGCAGCAGGAGCCGCAGCCAACATTGACGGCACCACTGTCGTTGGAGGTGCCGTCGGCTCCATCGCCCTCACAGCAGCGGCATTCGTGCCGGCACCAGCACAACAAGGCGGTCCTCCCGGTGGTGCCCCCGGTGGTGCCCCTCCAGCAGGCGCTCCTCCTGCAGCCGCCCCTCCGGCCGAAGGCGCTCCCGCGACGCCGCCTGCAGCCACCTCGCAAAACATCGCCTCGAGCTCGCAACTTGATGGAGCGACGACAGAAAGTTCGGTCAGTACGACAGCGGCGGCTGCTCTCCCGTCCGTAGACCCAAACGCTGATGGGGTCGGTATTCCAGTAACGGTTCCGCCTTTTACACCAGGGAGCAATACACGAGACCTTGGTAGGCTGATTCCGTAGGAGGTTTTGAGTGGTTGAAGAGGAGCTGTAGAATACAAGGACATACATAGATACCAAATTCTGAAGCATTTGTAGCGCAACTTTCTGGACCAATATCTCCTCTGGTCATGGCTAATCTGATGCCAAATATGAGGTACTTTGACTCTTAAAATGCCAAGGCAACGATCTACCGAGTGGTATCTCAGGTTCAGGGGTATTTCTGCGAAAACGTACACACAGGTGCCACATTCTATTAGCGTCGCAAAAAGAAGCCGGCAAACGGACAACGCCCGTCGTAAGGAGAGGCAAAAGTAACTTCCGGAACGGGGAATTGAACCCCGAGCCTGTCGGCGCTCTGCATGAGAGCGACAAATGTTGACCATTACACCATTCCGGATTATTGTCAACCATGTGAAATTGCGGGCACATGACGGGTTGGCGTTGATCCCTGACTCGCGAAGGTATAATGCTGTGCTCTTTCTCACTCATCATCAGGATCTCCGGAAAGCCTAGTTAAGATGAACCTAGTATCACTACTTTGGTAACTGCTCTTCAATAGCTTGAAACGCAAAATACTGGGGTGTATAGGCCAAGACATGAATATTGGGTTGACAAGGGCTACGGCTCGTTGCATGAAATTCAGTCAGACCATGATAAAAGACATCAACAAGAAATTTCTCCGTCAAAATCTCTGACCCAAGTTTGCCAACACTGTGAACAGCTGCAAGCTGTGCTTGTGTGGAAACAGGACGGCTTTTTCTCCACTCGAAGCAAAAGAACATAACCATCTCTGCCCAGTCAAAAAGTGATAATGTGGTCACTACCAGGATCGAACTGGCGACTTTCGCATTTCAGAGATACCCACGAATGGAACATATTAGTACGACACTCTAACCAACTGAGTTAAGCGACCATTTGTTGAAGGGCGAAATGTTTCTTAGCGTCATGTTTGGACTGACCAGTACAGAACATGGATCGTAGTTCAGTTCAGTTCACCCGTAAGTAGATTTATTGCGTGGCTGCACACGTATGGATCACTGAACCTGAATTACCGTGCTTCATGTCAATAATACTGTGTGTGCCTTCGGCTTGTGGATCAAACAGCTAGGCGAGGAACATCAAGGCGAGGCCTCCCGCCATCGCCAAATGCAGCCATCGTGCCCCCGTGTGAGAAGATCCAGAAAGTGCATCCCACTCTCCTCGGTTGTTCTCCACCCACTTGAACTCGGTGCCATTCGTAAAGGTGAATAGGGGGGTCTCATGCTGACTCGGGTCAGCGAGGCTGATGACCGAATATTGACCATAGACATTGCTTGGAGCCAGCTCTTTCTCATCACCGTCGACCCTCTTTCCTTTGAAATAGATTTCGAAGCGGCCCAATGCGGCATCGATGGTGAAGAGAGACGTTGCAGTCGTGTTGGTGAAGCTGACGGAATATGTGAATGGTACCTTTTCACTCCTGGATTCTCTCATGAGCTGGTTTCATACCCTCTGCAACAAGTGACGTACCATATGAATCGCGTTTTGCAGCCACTGTCGCCAGTGTAGTTGTAAGGCACCGCAAAGTCAAACATGTTCTGCTGGGGGTTGTTTTCTTTGACCCATGTGGTTTGGTCACCGCTGATAGAGTAGAATGGACCTCCATCGTCGGCGTCGCTCTGATCGATTGGACGGTCGCTCACTCGCTCAACACTCCTCGACGTCAAGTTCAAGTTTGGTTCGCCAACGTAGGTCCAAGGAGAAGACTCGAATGACCCGCAGCGTTGTCCGTCTTTGTAACACGAAAACCGTGTGGAGGAGAAGCCGAGGTTGTAAAAAGCATTACTGGTGCAGCCGGTCGAAGACCAGCAGATCTGACGATTCTGAATGTAAGGTGTTGTCGAGCTGCGACGGAGGCGAGCGCTGTTGCGAGAGTCATTCCCATCGTGGTCGAGTTCAAAATAGAGCGGGTTCGAGTCCCATGAAGGTGAGTTGACCCCTATCCGCATGGTCGCATTGGGGTATGGCCCGAAACTGTACGCATCCTGCTGGCATTTTGATCGACTGCTCTCATCTGGAATGAAGCAACCGGAAAGGGTGCCGTTGTAGAAAATGAATTGTGTACCCCCGTCGAGGACTGTGTATCTGATGCTCAAAACGGCGGAGGGAAAGCTCAGCAAGGCGAGCAAGGCTTGCCACGCAATTCGATTGAACATGGTGGAGAGTTGTCGATTCGCATTTGAAAGATCATGGGCGCCAAGAGATCATGAGATGCCACAGGTTTAATACCCCTCACTTTCAGCCTGTTCATGGAGCAAGGGTCATCTGTCAGACTCGGACATAATTGGGCCGATTCCATATGCTGCATTGCCTCTTCCAGCTGAATGTCGGCACACTGATAGGGGTGCTGCACACCGAGCTCTGCTATGCCCGGACCCCGTACTGGAATGGCGACGATGTTAATGTTCAGCCATATGGAGTATGGTGCCAGCGCCATCATTCGAGTACGCCACTGAATGGCGTGCATGTTGGCGAGGAAATGCGGCGAGGTGTATCAGATCCACGGCGTGGCTTGGACAATCGGGCCGCTGTTCGCACAACACAAGCGCCAACTGAACTGCTAAGTGCCAGCCGAGGCTGTGCATGTTTAGATTTGGTCTTGACGAGGCAGATTCTCATCAGATGTCAGGCGACTACAGACGCCGTTGGTCCATATTGAGATCAACAACTGCTCGAGTAGTGCTTGAGGTCGCTTACTGGATGACTCCCATTGGACGGCCTTCCATTGGCGGCCTGGTCAAACCAACATACATGCAAACTGCATCAAGCCTCCCTCTCAGTGGCTGCCTTCCTGCGGGAGGCCAACTGTTTCTTGGCGTCGAGCCCTCACTCAAGTACCTACAAAACCCAACGTATCTTCCAAATTTGAGCCGGGATGCTTTCTGCTCCCAAGTTCTTGGACTAGCACATCGCGGTCTTCGCTCGACCATCGCCTGCCATGAATACCCAACTTCCCTATCGTCCCCTCAACCGCACGTACACCAGACCCCCTGCTCCTCAGACACCACTTGCACCATGTCGATTCTTCGCCCAGGGCTTCTGCGCCCGAGGCGATAGCTGCCATTTCGCCCATGAAGCATCGGCTGCTTCTTCTCAAATCAAGCCCAAATCCAAGGCGCCGTGTTGCTTCTTTGCCGCTGGGAAGTGCACGAAGGGGGCATTATGTCCGTTTCAGCATGAAGAGGCTTGGGATAATGCACCAGATGTTCCGCAGCTTGATGCCCCGAAGGAGAGAACAACCTCCCCCTGCTTGTTCTTTGCAAAAGGATCCTGCATGTATGGTGCCAAGTGTGTCTTTTCGCACTCCCAAACGGATGCGAAGGCAGATGCAACGGAGTCGCAGGACGTCGACAGCATGGTTCTCGCAGTAGGTCACTCCCAGCCCGCAACAGATCTACGCCTACGCCGTCTTTCCTGTCACTAACCATGACGATTATTACAGGACCAAGCGATCCAGGATGATTGGAAACGCAACTTCGGTGGCTCCTTTGCCGAGTTCGAAGAAGGCGCGGCCATCACCAAGGTCACACTCCCCTCCGACTTTTCTGCCGTCCGCCTGACCAGGCTCCCGCCGGGAAGCACTGCAGAGACCGTCGCAGACATGCTCCGCAAATTCTCTGACTCCATTCTCCCGGGAGATGTGCGCATATTTCCTGGTACAGAATTGTCCGGCTCCAGCGCCGAGGTCAAGGTGGAAGATCCGATGTTTGCCAGGACAGTTTGCAAGGAACTGAACCGCCAACAGTCTCCCACAACCATCACGGCCGTATCCATTCCGATTCCTTCCCCCAGAGGATCCAATATCCACCGCGTTGATTGCAAGAAGGTTCTTTGTTCTTGGCACCGGCCGACACGATCAGCATCTCTCAAGTTCGGATCCGAATTAATCGCCAACCAAGTCCATGGGCTTTTCGCGAACGGTGCCTACAAAGTCAACGGTAAAAGGGTCAGAGTCGTCGAGCCCCAGATTCAAGGCAGCCCTTCCAATCATGTTCCAGGGACGTGGACTCTGGTCATGCAAGATCTGCCTCCCGAAACCCAGATTAAAGACATCGAACGAGCCATTCCTCCACATCACAAACCCACTTCGGTTAGGGCTACCAAAGCCAGCTACGATACCGACCCAGAGGTCGCAGTGGCCATCGTCAAGTCCATGTTGACCAAAATTGGGCCACTCGAGTGGTGGGAGGCATCAGCCAGCTCCACGAGGAAACGTTTCAAGGCCCAGTCGCGCTTTCTGGACGAGAAAGATGCAAGTGAGGCAGCCAAGTCTCTGAACCAAAAGCAGCTTCCTTTCAGCGACACGACGAAGTTGACTGTCCAGCACATCACATTGGCCAAGTTCAAAGTCTCAACCCGAATTCACGATGCGCTTCGTCAACAGTTTGACGTCGAGAAGACAGCCTGGGCGAGCCAGAACATCTACTTCGTGGCGTACCCTCCCCAACAGGGATACCGCGTCTTGAAGCTGGAAGGCGACAACAGCCAGCTGATTGCAGATGCAAAGAAGAGTCTGGAAAAGATCATCGCGGGTGAGGTGTTGAGGAAGAACGGGAAGGACCTCTGGCATTCGAGCCTGGAGAGGAATGGCGAAGAGTTCCAATGGCTCAGGAAGCTGCAGCAAGCTCGGAACGTCGTCATCCTTCGCGACAAGCGAAGGTCACAACTCCGTCTTTTTGGACCCAAGGCTAGCCACGATCATATCGCGGATGAGATCGAGACGTTCCTGAAAGACAGTGGGCTTGGCTCCGGCCACCATGTCTTCAAGCTCACCCCCGAAGAGTTCCGATGGGCTTGCCAAGGCGGCTACAGGGCGCTTGTCGCTCGAATAGGCAAAACGAAAGTGAACTTCGACATCATTCCCACGCCCAAGCGCATTGTCGTTGGCGGGTCCGCCGCCGATATCTCTGTTGCAGCGGCCATCATCTCTTCTCGAAGAGTGGACGAGCTGCCAACTCTTCCCAGAACCAGCACCGAAGACTGTTCAGCCTGCTGGACAGAAGCTGAGGATCCGGTTCGAACGTCCTGCGGGCATGTCTACTGCGCCGACTGCTTTACGAACCTGTGTCAAGCCGAAGGCTCCTCTGCGACTGCATTCCGCCTCTCATGTGTCGGCGATGGAAATCGCTGTGGAAGACTCTTCCCCTTGGATGAGCTCCATATTTTGCTCTCATCCACGGCACTGGAAGACCTACTCGAGGCGTCCTTTAACTCTCACGTTCGACAGCACCCTTCAGACTTTCAGTACTGTCCAACGCCGGATTGCGGTCAGCTCTATCGGCCTGCGGCGGAAGGTTCCGAAGGCGTCACGTTCACCTGCAACAGCTGTCTCGTCACCATCTGTACTGCCTGTCATGTCGTACACCCGGGCATGACATGTGCCGAGCACCAGGACAATGCTTCAGGGGGGTACAAGGCTTTCGCAGAGGCCAAGGAGAGACTTGGGATCAAGGATTGTCCAAAGTGCAAGACATCCATCGAGAAGACCGAAGGCTGCAACCACATGGCTTGTGGTGGATGCAATGCGCATATCTGCTGGGTGTGTTTGGACACGTTTGACAGTAGCCGCGAGTGTTACGCCCATCTGCAGGAGAAGCATGGCGGCTGCTTTGATCACGAGATTCTTGACGACTAAGCCAGGCAATGGGCATGTTCAAGACAATCTTGGGTTTGACCACATGACAATTGTGTCGAGGGCCGAGATGTTGATAAGGGTATTTGGGCAATGGATGGGTGGTGGTACAGACCAATTGTAGGGCACATCGAAGATCTTGTATGACACACCATCTCGCGACCCCAAGACCTGTGTTATCATCGTGCCACGTTAGCAGCATGCTCCCCTCGCAAAACTGCCCCTGAGCCTTGGCACCGGAT